TTTGTAAAAAAAAAAAAAAGGTAAGTAAATTGGCGTATTCGTAATAGCATTACTTCAATTTCCACACTGACAAAGGATAAAAGGCAAAACTCACATCTATTAGTTTTTCTTATGAGTTGGTCCTAATATGTTTTCAGACGAGGCCATGATCTATGAGTTCCCGTTGAATTCCACCTACCTGCGACTGAAGGACGTCGAAGGCCTGCAGGGGTTGGTGGTCCACAAAGGAGCTCCAGATGGGTGGCTGTGCAGCAGGGTGCGACGCTTGGGCAGTGGATATGGTTAACGCGTCAAATCCCGAGGAGCTGCCGCCACCTCCCAGGCTGACCAGCTCCTCAGACCCCACAGGAAGAAGGCTCTCTCCGAACCATAAAGCCGTGCTGCTAGCGCTACTGTTGTTGTTGTTGTTGTTAGCGTTGGCATTGAACTGACAGGTGGGGCTGAAATCTGCCATCCTGTTACCGTTCCCATAGAACGAATCGGCCGAGCTGGAGCCGCTGCCCAGCGAACTGGAGCTGTCATTGCGATAGTTGGAAGACATCCTGACACCACTGTTAATATTGCTATTGATTTGCTGAGTACCAGTGACGCTCATTGGCACCAAGCTGCTGCTTCCGCCGCCACCACCACCGCCCCCTGGTGGTGCTGCACCTGCATTAAGCCAACCGGCCTTTCCCAACCCGACTGATGCAGCGGAACTCTCGAAGCTGACGTCTGTCCCATTGAATTGAAAGTCGTTGTTGTCTGCACCTGGAGCCTCAATACCCACTGCACCGGTCCCAGTGCGGAGGGCAATGTGCGCCTCTATCTCCTCCCTCGCCCGGTCAACATTCTCCGGCATCCCGGTGACCTCAAATACTGGCTCTTTGTCTCGACTCGGCGTCACGATGTAGGTGTGGGTCTGTTGCTGAATGCGTTTGATGGTTGCCCCTGAAAGATATGAGCAAATCGAGATTCTCATACTTTATCACATGATCACACAGCTACATCAATGTGCAACATTTAAGTTGGGTTGGACATTATGTGTGACCATACTGGAAAAGATTTACATCTCAGCATAAAGAAATGAGAGAGGAGAAAAGAGTTGCTGAGAGCTGAGATGAAAAGAAGAGTTATAGATTAATAGTGCTAAATAGATTGGCTGGAGAAAATCTACCGGTTGGCCTGGCTTGTCAACTATGAAAATAAAGTATCAGATACTTTATTCCAATGCTTATAAACACTGAATATTAAATATTTAAGTTCCACACTGCCTCTTTTTTCTATGAGGCACAGCTTCTGTTTGTGCTAACATTTGTAATTGTTACCTCGGCCCCCCCAGCCCAATGACACATGGTTGAGAACCGCTGCAGTGCAATTTACAAACCAACCCCAAGGCTTTATGACACAGAAGTGGTAAAGTCAACAGGGCAATGGGTTAAAGACTCCGTGAGAACTAAATGTAACCTTCTCAGGGAGAGTTGAGCAGAAAAATAAGCTCCAAGCAAATCAAGACAGAATAAAATAACTTTCAAAGAACAGTTTTACTCTTTTACTCCAGGTTTCACCAGCACCTTCATCAGTCCGATGAAGAAGTGAAACTTCTGCTATCATGAAACACATCATGTGTCTTAATTACAAGTCGGCTTTGTTGGTGCACATTTGTCCACACTTGTGTTTGCTGGTGTTGTACGTAGTTATTTTTATCATTCGCACTGAAAATTACTACTAAAAGCTAAATCCCAATGAGAAATCTTGTGAAGACAACTGATTAAAGAACTGATATAAGACTCACCTTTAGGACCCACAACCAGCCCGACGACACGGTAGGGTACCCGCACCTGTACGGTTGCGATGACAAGAAGTAAGTACACACACTTTAAATAAAAAACACAAACAAAAATGGAAAAAGCAGTGTCGTTTTTATGAAGCAAATGTGCTTTGATGTTGAAGATACACAGCACTTACTATGATTCACTTCATAAGAATGCCTGACCCACTCTTAATGCCACTGTGACTCATAATCGCATGCTTGCTGACCTGAATTGTCGTCTGTCCAGGTAGAGTGGGCACCCCGGGACCGGTCGCTGTGGACAGAGGGCCTGTCTTGTTCCTGGAGGCTCTTATGAGGGAGAAGTGCTCGGCCGCAGACAGGATCTCCCGCTTGGCCATGGCCACGTCTTCTTTACGCCCAGTCACGACAAACACGGGCTGATCCCCACGCACTGGCGTCTTGATGTAGGTGTTTGTCTTGGCTCGGAGTGCTTTAATCTTACAGCCTGCGAGAGGCAGAAAGAGAGCGGAAAGTTTGATTAGTTCCCATATAAACATGCCCATAATATTCAAAATCGGATTCTCAACATTTCCAAATTGAACTAATAAAAAATGACTGCGCATGCAATTTCAGTTTCCACTCACTGATCCCATTTGAAAGTTACATAAGCTTATAAATTAAATATTCCTTTCAGCAGCGGTTGAGAGTCCAACATCATTACCAGAGCCATTTCCTGTTGTTGTCAACACAGCAGCCTGTGCACCCTCCCCCCATCTGCTCTGAAAGGCCACATCTCACTATTTACCCAACATTACAGCACTTTGTTAAAGTAACAGCCGAGAGAAAAGATGGATGCGCGAGAAAAGTCAGGTGTTTGGTTGAGATCTGGGATATGTCACGGAGCTAACTATAACCCACAGCTGATGTGGCAGAGCAATGGTTACCGCCGCTGCTCTCCGTGCTCGAGACAAAAGCCCAGCCTGGTTCAGCACGGCCAGGCACGGCTGAGAACAGAGTAACCACAGACAAAAACACACGCACGACGAGCTGTCGAAACGAGAGGACACAGGGACGCTTCGTTTCAAAGTTGTGATGTAAACTTTTGGAGAGGATGTTTGACGAGGGTGGTGTTGACCCAGATAGGAGAGTGCTAAGCTAGCTGCCCTGGAGCTAACGGTAACAGCTGTAGCTCGGGATGCTAAATGATAGATACTTTCAATTACATGTTGTATATGATTCAAACACAAAACTAACACACACGTGCGCAAAATCACGACGATGGCGGCTTATTGGAAACTTATGTAAGGTAGCGGGCGCTAGATGATGCTAATACATGTGACCAGCAACCAGTTAGCTAACGTTGGTCCTAACAAAACAAGCTCCAATTTAGCAACACGTTATGTTGCAACTTTCCTGATGTTTTTACAGTTTAATTATAATTTAATTACTTTTCTACTGTTGTTTACATCTTGTTTTGCCTACTTTTCTGCTGCCCGAGCTATTTTTTCCTCCAAGTTTATGCCCCAACTCCCTCATTAGCAACTTTAGCTATTGAAGCTAAAACCACCAAGCAGACAACGAACCCACTCACCCTGCCTGCCCACGATCTCCGCGACGTGCTCGGAGCTCGGCACGGCCACACACTCGGTCGTGTTGACACTCTTTCGCCGGGCCAACAGCGAGGTTTCGGCCTCGTACCCCGACTCCCCGTACACGCCGGGCGGCAGCATCGCCATGCTACTGGACGGTAGCAGGGCGCTGCCGCCGACCGTCGTGTCATCGTGCTCGCCTCCGTTGTACAGCAACACCGTCTCGGCGAGCTCCATCCTGGACGGCACCGCGGAGCCACCCGGGCCCGACGACGGGAGGTGATGGTGGCGGTGGGCCTGCGCTAGCAATGAGCTGCCGGTGCAGCCCGAGGAGGAGTCGACGTCTGGAGCCTCCTCCGGCTCCTCGTCCTCAAGCGCCGTCTTCGCTTCATCTCCCGAGGGCGGCCGGTGCAGAGGCTTCAGGTCCAACACCGTACCGAGGAGGCTGAAGTGAGACACCGGGGGGAGCTGGCTGTGGTGGTGGTGGTGAAAGGAGAGGGTTTCATCTCCGTGTTCGGGGGTCTGGCTCTGGGTAGCGTGGTGCTCCTCGAGGCCCATACCGGCGAAAGCGTGTACTAGCGGAGGTGGGACCTCGGACTCTCCCTCTTCGGCCTCCAGCAAAGACGTGCTACTGGGCATGGTGCAGAACTTGTGTAATACTGCCGTTGAACAGAAATCACGACGGAAATCGAGTCGATTTGGTTTTTGTTTTACATAAAAAGAAAAAGAGCGACCAGCGCCTGTTGGTTGAAATGTGCAGCTTTTGTTTTGTCTCTCCGGCTCCCATGCAGCCCTCCTTCCACTGAGATCCCGCCTTTCCACGCGAGACTTTCTTTCGGGTCAGGCGGGCGTGACTTCACGCCAGTGCAAGGGATGGAGAGGAGAATAATTCCTTATAATACATGAAGACACCTGTAGGTGCTCTGCTGCCATGACTCATTGAGGACTCAGAATAGAAGTAGTGTGGCGTTTGTATTCGAGACTTTTATGGACAAAGCAAACTGTTCATTCTTATAAATCAGTCATCGTCCAACAACAACAACAAGCCAGAGGAATCTACTGACCTACTGCAGATTGTCAGTGATTCTGTGAAAGAAGCAACCATTCACTATCTATGCATTGCTCTGCTGGGCTAGAGGCATCTTGTGTGCAAACAGAATACATCCTGCAGTGTTTGATAGAGTATTTGAAGGAGATCAGAGGCGAAAACATTGGTGGTCCACTCTTGCAGGTTTATTACCATTATAGATAAATGGTTACATTCTTTAACATACAATTCCATTTACAACTATATTACATCTCATACATGGTTTAGTCCACTCCTGTGGTGACACAAAACCAAAAGAGAAAAGGAATTTCGGAGGTAGAGAAGCAGCTCTGTAACAAATTTCTAAATTGATTAAGAGTTTGAGTGCTTTTAAATGAAATATGGTGATCTTTACTCACATTAAGATGGTTCTCTACCACTGAATATTCTGGTATTTCAGCATGTTCAGACTTCCAATACAGGTGCACACAGTAGTTGAGTCAGTTATTTTATATCCTGCGACATATTATATATTAAAAAGGTGAAGGAGGGCCCACTGATGCTGCATATATGTGCACTTAGCCCACTTTAATGTTCAATGCCAACCATGGTTGTGCACACTTTCTACAGCTATTATAATCAGTATCCTTCACACAAATGTAAGTCAGACATAGACAATATACAAGCCATATACACACCGACCACATATATGCATCCTAATAAAATGCACAAACATTTTAGGAGCACAAGCAAAATAAACTTGGGCATAAATTGTGTCCTAAATGGAGACTATACAATGAATGATGGTGATCATCATTCTGGACTTCTGCTACAGTCTCAACTATGATCATTCTTGTTTATCCATATGTTGAATCATATTGTTTTCTTCGTGTCAGTCTTTTATGTAACTGTAGTGTAGTGTTACAGCATCAGCCACGTTGGAGAATATTGACCAAAAAAAAGCAACATACACTTCCCTATTGTGTGGAAGTAGAGCACGTGATCTCATACGTGTACTTCCTGTCCTTTTCTGACCAATGACAGAGAGCACGGGGGGCGGGCTTTCTCACACGACAGCCAATGCCGTGTCACGCTTGCGATACGTTACGTCGGATTACCCGAGTGAGCGTTCCTGAGGTGAGTGGCTAACGCTGTCTGAGACGAAACAATGAATTAAGAAATGTACATGTTTGACTTTACTTTAACTCGAATAACCATGAATGAGACGATCACACACGGACACACTTAAAATAAACGCACGTTGGAAATCAAGAGTGGTGTTTTGACTCTACAATATAAAGAGTAGCTAGCTAGCTAGTTAGCTTCAAGCTAATTACATGTCGCTGGTGTCGATGTCCGGGTTCGCTATGTCACCATTTTTGTCTGTTCACCAGCAGCTGTGTTGATTTAAGTTCCATGTCCGTTCACGTTTATCTCGGCAGGTCCGTGTAGGTTTTTTATTTTTAAGCTGTTGGCTCTCAGTGTCCAGGATGTGCGGATCCTTCCGGGTGCTGCTGCAGGTGCTGGTCGCCCTGCTGCCGTGGGGCTGGGTGCTGGGCTCCGAGCTCACGTTTGAGCTGCCGGATAACGCCAAGCAGTGTTTCTACGAGGACATCATCATCGGCACCAAGTGTACACTTGAGTTTCAGGTGCGTGGGTCTCACTGTACAGCTCTTACCATTGATCCCCTGGACTGTATTCAAAGCTTAAAGCGTCACTACTACACAGACTGTACAAGAGATCAAGGTGACAAATGTGAACAAAATATATTGGGTATACGCTTCAAAGTTGGAAGTACAGATCCAGCGATCCACACTGCAGCCAAATGTGGAAGATTTAGAGTTATAAGAGAATATTTTGAGCTATAGAATCTGTT